GGGTAAACCGGCAATAGCTTTAGCTTTGGAATCATGACAGTAGGTTCCTTAGGTATTTATATACTTGCTGTAAAAGTGGTAACCATAGAGCGAGTCGTTTAATGGCATAGTTATTATCCTTGCTTTCGAGCATGTATTGTAAACTGGCATTAGGAGTAGGAAAATCCGTAGTCACCGTAAGAATGTAGGACACGTTCATGCTTGTTAGTAGTGCTGGTACGTAGCTTAGACTTTAGTGGGCAAATCTCACTTAGTAGTTTAATAGAGGTACTTTTGCATTGAGAATTTCTGTTGCCGTAGTGTTAACCATTGCATCGTCATTTCATGTAGATCACGAACAGGTAGACTTCGTACCCGTCGGTGAGCCGGAGTACGATGAGGTGATCGAGGAGTACGAGGAGGAGCTCTTCACACAGGAGGGATCCCTGGAGCTTGTTGGTACTGACTTTGCTGACCCGGCACCTGCCCAAGGCAAGCCCCGGTGCATAACCCCTATTATTTTTAAATGGTCACTGAATATATTATATGATATGCATTTACGTTACAGGCATTTTATGGAAACTACATGCATAATTATATCCACCATGAGTCCTACTAGTACAGGTCGAGTAGTTGCTATGCTCAGGATGTCGGTAGCGTGAGTAACCTGTCGTTACTCGCAAATAGGTAATTAAACTATGATATCATGATGAAATAATGGAAAGGAAAATGGTGACCGGGCAGGGATGTGGATTTGGTACTGGGGGGTGTGAGGGGTTGTGTCCTGCGGCCAACAGGGCATAACCCGGTTACACTTTTTCCCTGTCTGTGTCAATTAAGGACCGGTCGTTGCAAATGACTCTAGGCAAGTCACAGATTATTGTCCTGAGCACATACTTGGGTATGGGCGCAGGGAAGGCCTGTTGCTCTCTTGTCGTGAATCCGGCTCTTTTCGGACCGACTGATGGGAAGAGGAGGTGGTGGAGGTCCTTGCACCACACTGAGTCCGAGACTCAGGATGTGGGCGCTCGAAGTCCAAGTTTGGACGGGGACCTGGACACCCGGGACAGGAGGGTGATGGGTTAGCCATGCTTGTGCCTGGGGTACAAGCGGGGCGTGTGTTTCGGGGCACCCAGCTGGGCACATTGATTCGCGAATCGCCGGGTTATCCGGTACGGCTTGTCTGCGGTTTAGCACCGTAGTAAGAACTAAAAGTGGAAAAGGAGAAGGAACATATCGATTGCTCAACTCTTGCTTGAAAGTAGAACAGGTGCTTATATAGATTGACTAGATGAAAACTTAATACGGCTAATAATAATAAAGCATTAATAAGGACTCACTATTAGTATTGCTTTCGGCTAAAGGAAACCAGCAACCATAAAGCCTAGCATATTCCTTGGAGTCGAGAAAGTATTCCCACTGGTTGGATAAGTCTTGCGAGTACATTGTGTACTCAGGGTTTATTCACCCCTGTTGCAGGTGATGCTTGAGGAGTACCTTGTGTGGAGGATTCTTCTGGTGGGCTCAGACAAAATCCTCGTTATCTTATCGCTAAATGTTATCTTTTAATATTCCGCTGTTTATCATTCCGCACTCTGTATTTGGTATTGTAATAATGCACTTTTTAAGAAACTCTAATGTATGAGATGGTCTTGTGTTGTAACTCGTTTTCATTATTGGATCCTTGGGAAAAATGTGGATCTTTCGGGTTCTCCCTCGGGGTGTGCCCGACGGATACCGCCCGCTATAGCTTGCTTTCAGGGTGCTTAGGGTCTGGTGGAAGACGAGCGCCTCCGTAAGTGTGCTATTTTGGGCGGTTCTGCCACAAACTTGTCCTTCAGGATCCTATAGAACCCATTGTCGCACATCAAGAAGAGCAACAACAGCCCCATATGGAACAAGCGCCAACAAATAAGGCCCCCCTAGAATGTCTCAAAGAGCTAGAAAACCAGCCATTCCTGATGACTACGAGTCTATGAATGTGAAGAATTTCAAATAGAGGGTGATCCCACCTCATTTGAAGAAGCCATGAGAAGCGCTCACTCGTCGAAGTGGCTTGAAGCCATGCAAGATGAAATGAGATCGATGAGTACCAACGATGAATGTGACTTAGAAAAATTTCCTAAAGGAGCCAAAACAGTAGGTAGTAAATGGATCTACAAAACTAAATATGACTCCAAAGGAAATGTGAAAAGATTTAAAGCATGACTTGTGGCGAAATGTTTCATGCAAAGAGAAGGAATATATTACAATGAGATATTTTCTCCAGTCTCATATAAGGATTCTTTTAGAATCATAATGGTGTTAGTAGCGCATTACGATTTAGAATTAAATCAGGTGGATGTAAAGACGGCTTTCATTAACGGGGATTTAGATGAAAAATGTTTATATGGCACAACCAAAAGGTTTTGTCATAAAAGAAAAAGAATGTATGGGATGCGACCTGAAGAAATCCATTTACGGATTAAAACAAGTCTTTAGACAATGATATTTAAAGTTTAATGGAACGATAAGAAAGTTTGGGTTTAAAGAGAATGTAGAGGACAATTGCATTTATACAAAGTTCAAGAATGGAAAATTCATTTTCCTAATCTTGTATGTGGATGACATCTTACTCGCTAGTAGTGATGTTAATCTACTATTGGAAACAAAGAAGTTCTTGTCCTCAAATTTTGATATGAAAGATCTCAGTTAAGCTTCGTTTGTTTTAGAGATAGAGATTCACCGAGATAAAAGAAATAGGGTTTTAGGATTATCGCAAAAGACATACTTAGAAAAAGGTTATAAAGAAATACAGTATGCATGCGTGTAAGCTTTCACCTGCTCCTATAGTCAAGGGTGATAGTTTTGGGGAATTTCAATGTCCTAGGAACCAATATAAGATCGATCGAATAAAAGCGATTTCATATGCTTCAGCTGTAGGAAGCCTACAGTGTGCTCAAGTATGTATATGTCCTGACTTAGTTTTTGTTACTGGGATACTTGACAGATATCAGAGTAATCCAGAAATAGAACACTAGAGAATGATAAAAAAAGCTTTGCGTTATTTGCAAGACACAAAAGATCTCATGCTAATATACAGAAGATCTGATTTCCTACATATAGAGATGTATTTAGATTCAGATTTATAGAAAATCCACATCAAGCTATGTATTTACTCTCGTAGGGGGAGCTATACCGTGGAAAAGCTCCAAGCAAACCTCACTGCATTGTCCACGATGTATGCCGAGTTTGTAGCGTGTTATGAGGCCATGGGGCAGGTGAACTGGCTAAAGAAATTTATGTCCGGATTGAAAGTGGTCGATAACATTTATAAGCCACTCAAGTTGTACTGCGATAATGAGTCAGCAGTATGTTATGCTGATAACAATAAGTCAAGTGGTGCTGCCAAACACATTGACATAAAGTTTTATGTTGTGAAAGACAAAGTTTGAGATAATTCTATTAGTCTCGAGCATATAGGTACAAAGAAAATACTTGCGGATCCATTTACAAAGAAAAAGGCTTACCGTCCAATGTGTTCAGAGAACACTTAGCCGGCATGGGTTTACGAAAAAGCCTATGATCCCTGAATAATAAGGGCCTAGTTGAGAATTTATTTTAAAATAAAGAGGTGTATTATAACTGTTAATCTAATGGTACTAATTGTTATGACGGGGCACGTTCTATGCACTAATCTGTGATGGAATGAGAAAAGATAAAATATTTTAAGTTCAAGTTAAAAAGTGAGATAAGGGGAAGAATGATAAGTTGATCTCCTCCCGACTCGGTCCAACGACCGAGTCGGTGCCTTGATACGCGTCCTGATCGGGGGCGTCCAACCGAGCCATAGTTTGTGAGGCCCCGTCGCACAGCGCCATATAAAAAGAGTCAGGGGCCAGGGCACTCGGTACGAGGTTCACCGCAGCAACAAACCCCGTCTACAGTCCCAAAACCCTGACACGATCTAGAGGGCGCGCTGTGAGCGACGGGAAGCGTCACTGCCTTCACTGCAGGGACGCCGCCGCTGCCGGACACCGCCGCCCCCCCTCTTCGTCAAGCTCGGCGCCGCCACTCCTCATCGACGCTATGGCCTCCTCTTCCGCTAAGCCTACCGACGGTCGTAACATCTCCCCTCGCTACCTCTCTTCTCTCTCCTTTTAGATCTACAGGTTATAGGTCCTATATCTATGGTTTTGTTTCACCGCTAAGGAAGTTTTATTCGCTGATCTATTCCTAGTTAATCCTCAAGTTCTAACAAGTGGGACTCCCGTAAAACTCGTCAGGCCTGCGAGAGACGAACAAAAATTTGGTCTCTACAGTCCGTAAAACTCGTCAGGCCTGCGAGAGACGAACAAAAATTTGGTCTCTACAGTCTGAGTGTTGTCTATGTATGTCTCGGCTAGTTATAGGGTTCTAATCAGCAATCACATCCCAAACGAAGAGGAAGAAGAGCGAAAGTCCGGTGTCACCCCTTGTTGTCTCTCCCCGTCTTGACTCTTGCGGCTGAAGCGAACCGAAGACAGGTAAAAGAAAGCAGCACTCGCAGCCGAGGGAGATCTCCAGCACGCACCTGATCCGGAAAAGCGCAAAAGCACGAGCCGTCTCAGCAGCAAAAGCACAGCGCGGGGGCGGGAGGGCGTGGTTTCGCGTCCGCGGCAGCGCGCGCTTTTTCCCCACCCGTCGCCGTCGGCGAGGGGCCGGGCCCCATGCACGCGGGGCCACGTGTGAGGCCAGGGTGCCGAACCCTCGCGAGCCCGCGGCACGCGTCGGGGCCGCACTGGCCACGCCACGCCCCACGCCCATTATAACCTGCTCCCGCCGCGCGTCACCGGCGACCGCGTCGCCACCCGCACCCGGCCTCCAACGACCTGTTGCTGTTACCTTCTTCTTCGGGCAGTTTCCACCATTGCCGCATTTAGAAGCTCCCAGTGCCCTTTCCTCCAGCAGATAGTTTCTTTTGCGAGATATTAGCTGGTAGCTCGAGCTACAAGTGAACTGTGAAGATATATATAGGCATATAGCATAGCGGAAGGGGATTGATGGCGGCGGGCGCCGGCGGCGGCGCGGCGGCGCCGTTCGTGTGGAAGACGTACATGATGGTGGAGGACCCCGGGACGGACGGGGTGATCGGCTGGGGGAAGGGCAACAACAGCTTCGTCGTCGCCGACCCCTTCGTGTTCTCGCAGACGCTGCTCCCCGCGCACTTCAAGCACAACAACTTCTCCAGCTTCGTCCGCCAGCTCAACACCTATGTCAGTTAGTTAAATCACTCCAGCTAGCTGCTAAATTGAATGCCATCTCTCTTCCTTCAAGCTGCTGAATCCTCCGTGGGAGAGTGCTGGATCTGTATAAACTACAGAATCTTTGTTGGTTGATGTGAGGTTTTTATTTGGGAGGGAAATGGAAATTGTCAGTTTTTGGCCTGTGTCCAATGCTAGCTCTTGCCGTACCGTACGTCTGTACCAACGCAAATCTGTAAATGCTTTTTGTTGGACAAAAAAGAAATTTGTAAGCTGGAATGAAATTCTCAACATTTTTTTTTGGAGATTGGTGAATGAAATTCGTAAACAAACATGGGCAGAGAATAGAGATGGACCGTGGACCGTGGCCAAACAGTTCAAGCGCACCCTGAATACGCACGGAGAAAATTTGTTTTGCCCTGTTTTACTTTGGATTTCTGCAAGAACCAAAAATGCTAAAACTATGTACAGGACTTAAGAATTTGTATCTTCGATTTTTTATAAACCGCAAAAGTGGAGAACCGTACTAGTTCGTTCTCCCTGCCCTGATTGTGCTATTTTCGGTCCACACAACAGGGTTTCCGCAAGGTTGATCCGGACCGGTGGGAGTTCGCGCACGCGTCGTTCCTGCGCGGCCAGACCCACCTCCTGCGCAACATCGTCCGCCGCGGCAGCAGCAGCGGCGTCGGTGCCGGCGGCGGCGGCAAGAGGAAGGACGCAGCAGCGTCCGGCAGCCGCGCCGAGGCCTCCGCCTCCGGGGACGACATGGCCATGGTGGCCACGGAGGTGGTGCGCCTCAAGCAGGAGCAGCGCGCCATCGACGACCGCGTCGCCTCCATGTGGCGCCGCGTGCAGGAGACGGAGCGCAGGCCCAAGCAGATGCTCGCCTTCCTCCTCAAGGTCGTCGGCGACCTCGACAGGCTGCACCGCCTCGTCGGCGACGCCGCCGCACCGGACAACGGGTTCACCTCCGGCGGCGATGCTGCCGAGCCGCCCTCCGCCGCGGAGGGCGGCGAGAAGCGGGCCAGGCTGCTGCTCGACGGTGACAACATGGTGGCGCTCGGCCCCGAGGCTGTCGACTTCGCCGGGTTCTACAGCAGCGGCGGCGTGTTCGGCGACGTTGCCGTGGATGCTGCCGTTGGATCTGCCGGTGGCGGGTGCTCGTTTGCGTTCGGCGGCGGGTACTGACTACTGAGTGACGACCATGCGCCGCCCAGTGTCAGTCAGCAGCTTGGCCCGCTTGTGCTGCTGTTTCTGCCGACTTCTTGCTTGCCAATGCCATTGCGGCGTGCGTGGCCGCCGCTTGGAACGCCCAAGAGGCAAGACCGGCGGCAGCCGTCATATGGAAGCATGGCAGGGGCCTACAGTCAGCCCATGATGGATGATAATGATGTTATGTTCTGTCCATGCTCCATGGATGTCTATTTGATGCTTTTGGTGGATCTGATCTGATTTTATGGGCGGGAGTGACTACCGCGTCGGGATCATCCGAGCTAAATAAGGAACTACTGTGATGGAGTGTGACCTTGGAACTTACGAGTAGGTTTGATTGATGTTGTTCATGCATGGTTATTGTAGTGGCATAGTCCATCGAGTGCAGCAGCACTGGATATTTCAATCCCCTGCAGATATGCAGCTGGAAAAATTGACAGCACTATTAAGTTTCACTATCGTGTAACAATTGTCTTGGTATAAACCGTTACAAGTACAATGAGCAAAGGCGCAGACAAGATGAACATAGAAAAAGGATCGGCATCAGTCCAGATGTACGAAAATTATAAGTACACAAAAAGTCAAATGCCTTTTTTTCACGAGCGTGTGCCTGCGACACGTATTTTATTAAGCAAAAACAGAGTTTGACTGATTACAACATCTCCAATAATTCATAGATTATCTTGGAAGGATGGAAGCCAACACGACCTAGATAAACCTAACTTAATTACGTTACGGGAAAGTTATGCAACCAAATGCCTTTGGGACAATCAAAGCAGAGGATACATAAACCTATATTCAATCTTTTCTCTGCTTGCATCTCCTCTGTCTCTCTCCTCTAAACAAACATGGTTGACTAATGAGCCATTTGCATAAACCACAAATACACGATGCTTCGTTTTCAAATCTTCCAATGGCGTTAGTTCAAGTCAATCGACATGGTAATGCGTGCTACTGCCACTACCTTGATTGATGAAGATAGCATGGCGCACGTGAAATCGTATCTCCTTCGGAAAGCACTCAGTACCCATATCTTACAGGCTGCATAACAGATAGGTAAATTGTAAAATGAGATAAGGCCGCTCGTTTTGTTTGCAGTTTGATATGTAATTAGATTACCTTGCCTAGGAGGGTTACTGCTATCCAACATGTTAGGCATGCCTCCAAACAAGTCGGGCTGAGCTCTTGGGAAGAGGTTATTAGCAGGTTGGATGGCACAATGTTTCAGAGTCATACTCAGTACTCAGTTTATCATACATCTCATCAAGTTTCCTCTTTTGCTTGCAAAAGAAGAAATATTCTCATCAAGTTTAGTATACAGACTGTTCCTGGTCTCATATTAAAAACAGATTCAGCTGTATCAAATCGACCTGGATTTCTCTGCGAATTTCTCATGAAGCTCTTGCTTATCGTTGGTCAGGTTTTCAATTTCCTATTCCATCAACTGGCACTTTTTACCCATCTTTTGATATGCAACGTGCAGTTCTTCTAGCTTCTCTGTAAATTTTCCATGCATAAGTTCAATCGTCTGTCTGCATTGACCAACAAACACGGTTCATCTTGTACTGCATCTCCAATTCCTTTTGTCCAATGCAAAATATGACACTTCTGCTTGCACTTTTCACGACTGGTTGACATCATGTTAAAGGAAAAACCTGATGATTATGATAAAGTGTCACTTTTTCAGATTAGCCGCATTTGTTTATTAAACGTATTTCAGCTATGTATTGTTAAGCTAGTAGCATTTCACTAAGAACATGGTAAATAACTGAATACCTTTCTTCAGCTCGAATTAGTGGATCACTGATTACATGGGGCGTTATCATGCAGGAACACCAAAACAAGGCAGATCCCACACTAAAATATGTGACGGTCCGTAACAGTTTCAAGGATACGTATTTGTGGAGAAATCCCAGCCATTGCCATCTGAAATGAGGCCCACATGGATCACATGATAAAATCAGATTGATTTTACATCTAGTTTGTAAAAAACCACTTACATTTGTCCAATCATCACTCAGATCTACCTCCACTGGTTTCATAAGGCTGACCAAAAACAGGGTAATAGTATTCCAGATTGCCTCATTATAAATTAGAAAAAATGGCAGCACTAGGCCTATATATGGTACATACTCGGAAGTAAATAACCTGTTTCATTATGTCATTAGAAGTTCCATGATATAGTAAAACAGGAGCATCAAAGATGTGTAAGATAGAAGTAAATAGTTTTAAAGGACGATGGATATATTAAGGAAAAACTAATAAACGTCAATGCTAGTGCATACCACTGACCTTTTCGATAGCACTTGATCACATGATCTCGTATTCCCTTTAGAATTCTTTGGTTTGGGCCTCGTTTAGTTGGCGATTTTTTTTTGGAAATAACACTGTAGCACTTTCATTGTTATTTGACAATTAATGTCCAATCATAGTCTAATTAGGCTTAAAAGATTCGTCTCATGAATTTCGTCTAAACTATGTAATTAGTTTTATTTTTTATTTATATTTAATGCTTAATGCATGCGTCAAAGATTCGATGTGATGATGAATCTTGAAAAATTTTGCAAAATTTTTAGAACTAAACCGGCGCTTGGTTTGAGTATACTAGGCCCAGTGGGCTGAAACCCTAGAGCACCCGTCTCCTGGAGGGCGCCTCCACCACGCCCGGCTCCTCCCCTCTCTCCCCTCCCCTCCGCACACGCCCCCACCATGCAAGGTCGACGTCGCAGGTGGCGGTGGTGATGGCGAGCGCGCCGACGCCTCCACGCCGCTGCCGCGCCTGGCTGCCGCCACGGCCCCAGCGCCGGCGGCTGCCTCCCCCACCTCCCCTCCGCGCGCGCCCTCTCCTCAGCCGTGCGCGGCCGCAGGTGGCGGCGGAGATGGCGGGCGCGCCGCCGCCTCCTCGTCGCTGTCCGCCACCGCCCCGTCCCTGCCGCCGGCATCACCGGACTCCACTGCCGCGGCCACCATGTGCGTCGAGCCTGCCCACGCGGGATCCGGCGCTCCTTTGCCTCTGCGGGACTTCCGGCCGCCCGCACCGGCGACGACACCGAAGGCCGCCGCCGTGGACGCCACCGCCACCGGCAGCAGCTTCGTGGCCATCCTCGAGGGATCCGGCGCTCCAGCTTCGTGACCACGGAGGAGCAGGGGGGATATAAGGTGGACCGAATCCACGTAGCAGCTGAGAGTGCCACTGCGTTGGCAGCGGTTACAGCTAGCAGTCGAAGGCAGAGCTCTCACGCGGACCTGGCCACCTGGGGCGCTTTCCCTCTCCTCCCTTTCGAACGAGAAGGCATCCGAGGTGGCCAGCCACGGTGATGGCTGCGGCGGCGCTGAGGCCGCACAAGGCTTCGCCGGCGCGCGTGCCCACGCGGTGCGTGGCCGCGCTCTGCGCCGCCTGCTTCCTCCTCGGCGTCTGCGTCGTCAACAGGTCTGTACGCCTTCGGCCCCCAAATCCGCCCGCCGCCCGCCCTCTCAGATAGAAGTCCCCCGCTCGCCTCCGAGGCTGGGCTCCGCCACCGCGTCCACGCCGCCGGCGACGCCGGGCCCCACAGCCACGGCCACCAGCAGCGTCGAGGCCACCACTGCGGGGTACAGCACTGGACCGCCTCCGCACATCCCCTCTCCGTCACAGCCGCCACCAAGGCCAGGATCCACGCTATCGCTGAACGCAGCTCCATTCTACCCGACATCGGGAGGGCGCACAAGCGTCGTCGGTGGGCGGACGACGACGAGGAGGAGTCCGACGACGATCACCCCACAACCTACTTGGATGCTGTCCGTCGACCGGCGAAGCCTGCGTCCCCGCCGCATGCCCAGATTCGTTCACTTGTGGCTCCGGGCCGTGGCGGAGCGGACACGAGACGACAGGGACGTGGACGAAGCCGGCGGAGTCATAGACGACTGCGTGGCCTACCTACTCGGCCAGGGGAGGACGTCAACGCCTTGGCCGGCGTGGTCGAGTCTCCGCTTCCAACGCTGATGGGTGGTGGGAGATCCTCCCCCGACCAGAGACGCGACCTGCGGCTGTCTCGGTTGAGCCTCGCCATGAGCAGCTCCCGCCGGCCCAGAGGATCCCCGCAGAGTTTCGCGATAGATGTTTCAACTGCCTCTCCTACTCGCACAGAGTAGCGACTTGCCAATTGCCACGTCGTTGTCTGTGTTGCCGCGGCTTCAGCCACCTCGCCAGGGACTGCAAGCGGATCAGGTCTGCTGCGACGACGAAGGCGAAGGGTGGCATTGGTCATGGAGATGAGCCACCGCCCCCCAGCACACGCCCCACGGCGGCCCGCCGAGTTCAGTCGGGGCCGCGGGGGGCACCGCCAGAAGCCGATGACAACGCTGGCAGCGCTAGAGCAAAACGACGAGCGACACCAGCATGGATGCACACGCCGCCTCTGCCGACAACGCTACTAGCTCTACCGCTGAGCACTACCTCCACAAGCCAGATCCGCTGGTGCTGGAGCTATGCGTGAGCACGCAACCTCACGAGTGGGTCGACCCAATGCTGGAGGAGTTCGCCGCCTCACGTGTCATCAGCCGGCCACCAGTAGCACTAGCGCCTAGGTGTCCGCCCGCCACATCGACTGCTCCGCAGGATGAGGAAGCATTGCTGTGGACACCAGTTCTTCGGCGAAGGCTTGGATGACGGGTTCATCTACGTTGTTGCCGGAGCAGGGGCAGCCACTAGTCACACCACAGCGGGTGAGACACGCCGTGGAGGCCGAGGCGTGCTCCAACAACATACCCCCAGGCGAGGACGCGGCCACCCCCACCCTACCACGAGGGGGACAGCCCGCTGTCGTAGATGACGAGGCGCGCCCACAAAGCCCAGTGCCATCCACCTAGCCGCTGGCACGACCACACCTCCCGAGGAACGAGGGAGCTTCGCCACCAAGAGGTTAAAGCGGTTCACCGCAAAGATCCTACGTAAGGTGTCATCGCCGCTGCTGCCTCAACCAGATGTCGAGGCACAACCAAAGTTGTCGACTCTTAGCAGGAGGATTGCCGCTCAGGCGCTTTCACGCGTTCCGGCTTCGAAGCGGGGAGAGGTGCTGGTGATAAAGCGGATGGGCTACCTCGACGGGCAGACAATGCCTTCCACGGCGTCCTTGGACACCTATGACAGCATCCTCGTCGACCAGCTCAACCCCTCGCATGCTGAGGCAATGCAACAGCTCTTCCCAGACCCACAACGAGGGCGACCGAGGCGCCGTGCACGCCAGCGCATCTGATCGCCGATGATGGCTACGTAGTATGATTAGCGAGTACTGGCCATGATCTTCTTATGCTAGAGAGGGCAGAGCCGATAGTATAACACTAACACCCCCGCTCTAGTGTGCCATGTTCGTGGCGCGTCGTTGTAACATTTACTATTTCTCAATCTTAATACAAATATGTGTAAATCTTTTGCGTATGCGAGAAAAAGTACTTGCTCACATATTGGGCATGTGCCATCATTACTCAATATTTTGTTAGCATCCTCTGTACCTGGAAAACTGTTAACAATGACCAATTAAATTGAAGTAAGGTGTTCAATATTTGCAAAGCTACAGATGACACACCCTTCCTCAACATAAATAAAGAGTGCAGGGTGCTGGAGGGTACATAAGAGATGACCACAAGTGATCGCTAAGGCTATCGATAAGGCTAGCCCTTCCGATTCCCGTCAGCAAGCATTGCACTTCATTTTGCTAAGTTTTAGAAAAAAAAAAAAGTCTACATACCCCCTGATGTATATATATAATGGTCTACGTAACCCCTGAACTATAAAATCAAGTATTGTACACATTAAACTTCGTAAAATCAGGCAAATAACCCCCCGGCGTGGTTTTGCTAAGTGGTTTTGCGTAAGTGGAAGCCACGCTGGCACGTCTCTGATGACATGGTGTCCAGGCCCACCTGTCAGCCCACGCCACCGTTTGCTCCACGCACCACGACGCCGACATGCACGCGGTGCTGCTGTCCCTACCGTGGATGCCCCATGTCCTGGCACTCGCTCGCCACTGCACCGCCGCCGCCAGTCACGCGCACACGTTGCTCCTGTCCTCGTCGCTTGCGCTCGTCATCGTCTTCTGCTTGCGCACGCGTTGCTCCTGTCCTCCATCGCCTGCGATTCCTCTGGGCAGCGGACGGCCTCAGAGCCGGCAGTAAGCTTCGGCGGCGACGACGATAGGCTGGGACGGAGCTGCAGGCGCATGGCTTCTACCAGACAGCCACTACCATTCATGTCGTCTACGTGTACTCTCTATCGCACATTATACGTAGCCTATACGAGGAGGAGGACACGTACGACGTACGGCGCATGGCTTTGGCCCACTGGCCAGCTGCTGCTGTTACGAGCGACTACGACGCCGTTTCATCGTAGGCTAACAAGAAGCAAGCTGATGCAGGGGCTACGTATCCATGAAAAGAAAAGAAGCTAGCTAATGGGTGCATGAACCTAGCTATCACGCATGTGTACATGATGTACTAGAACGTGCATAAAGGAAACAAGCTAGAGCTTAGGTGATAGGGATACACATGCAACGCTGAGAGTCATGCACCAGTGCACCACATGCATGAATATACTCTACTACTCTCCAAATACGTCTACTCGGCAGGGTGGGGGGCGTATTAGCGTAGAGTTATGACGCCACAGGGAACCTGTTCTCTTCCGGAAGCTTCAGGGATCAAAGGGAGGCAGCTGCAGCAGGCCCAGGTGCTCCACGAAGCAGTTCCCATGTCTACCTCTCGCTGTGCCAGACCACTAAACTTTGCAAGGTGGCGGGGCTGACGCGAGGGCAGCCGGGCCCGACGGCGGCAACAGGAACAGCGTCGTCGCCCCCGGCGTCATTGGCGCTAGGGCAGTCCTTCGGTGGGCTTGGCATCACGATACGACAGCCGCACGTCGACATGGGCAAGGCCCTGTGCGCGAGCACTGTCGTCCTCTCCCTTCGCCGGACAGAAGCACCACAATGGCGGGGAAGGAGAGAAGAGATGGCCCAACCAGGCTGACATGCGAGCCCATGCATCACGGTGTCAAATCTTGCCAACATGGACTGCCAAATCAGCAAAACCACCTTTCCAATATCACCCAGGGGTTATTTGCTCAGTTTCATAAAGTTTAGTGTGCACAATACTTGGTTTTATAGTTCAGGAGGTTATGTAGACTAATCTGGATATGTCAGGGGGGTTATATAGACTTTTTCCTTAAGTTATAGATGGTAATACAGATTTACCAAAACCTACATACATGAAAGGTGGACCGTATGTGAGTGAAGCATAACTCATGTACATATAGGAACATTAAAGCACGCGTAAAAGAAAATAAAGAAACTAAAATGGATGACAACCACTCGAATTTTGCTTAGTTAAGTTGGCAAAAAGGACTGCATAAATCTAAAAACCAGCAATATATATGCATTTCGGTAGACCAAACAAGGAACATAATATCAAATTGCACGTGAGAAAAGTTCAACTCAACTAAAATTAATAATAAATAGCAAAATTTTATATCACGAACAGACTTTTAGGAATTGTCAATTGATATTTTACACTTGAGAAGTCAATGACAATGAAACTACTTATGTGTTTCTGCTCCAAACAGTTGAAATTGGTAGTCCAAATAACCATCGATCCAACTCAGATGACCAACAAAACATGAACAAAAACTCACTTGATATGCATAGCAAAGCTATTGCATTCTGTATATTTATAGACTGACCACTGAGGCACTGCTTATAATCTGCAATATATATTGAGCAAAGCCCATGTTCATCCACAATTGCACATACCACACCCAATTTTGTTCAAAAGGTATACTAGCGATTATATATTATGTGTCCCAAAGGGCAAGGAAACAAGTGTATACTGTGTGGTATCCATTTGATGCGGCACTCAACAATTTTTATCCGTGCTACAAATTTTGTCGCTGGACAGCTTAAATGGTATCAAAATGGCAAATACAATGTTATAAGTACCCGGTTTGCATTTTTCTTGTTTCTTGTTGTTTCACCCTGGTCATTGCCCAAACAAAAACAATCTCAGTGCTAACTGCTAATAGACTACTATATGTCGAGCTTCAAGTTTACGTTCGACTATAAGATAAGCTATTCTTATGTTTCTCCATTGCTAAATTCAAATTTACATCTATAGTTTTTATTTTCAAACCACTTTCAAGGCTGCATACTACAAGGTGGAATGCACTATGTCAGATATGGTTTTTAGGGACGGCTAATAAGCATTTGTAGGGGCGGTTCGGCCAGCCGCCCCTACCATACCGTCTCTATAAATCATGTATTTGTAGGGGCGGTTCCTAGACCGCCCCTATAAATCAATTTGTAGGGGCGGCTACGGTACCAATCGCTCCTACAAATCATTTTTCCACAAAAAAAATTAAATTTACAATTCAAATTCGACCGGAACATATATTTTTCATGCACAACTCTATCATGACTTATCTGTGTCTGAACTTGTACATGTAGGATGGGCGTTGGTCAGGCTTGATAAGCCAATCTGAGACAAGTTTTCAGATGCTTTGCGAAGACTAAAAATGAATGTAGTCAAGTACTCAACTAGATCTAATAGCTACACATCAGAAAAAAATAATACTATGAGCTCTTATTCTTCTCCAGACACACCTGCTACCCGACCACAGACAGCTCTATCGACATTATAGATTTGAAACGCCTTGGAAACTTCCTTCTCATTCTCAATCGCATCAGCTATCTGCAAATTAGATAATATAAATAATGATGCTCCAAGCAGATAAAACTTGGGTTCCTAGCAACCGCACTTCATTTTAGACAGGTTAAGGCTGTGCATGAACCATAAATACAGTTCTAGTTTCATGAACATGGAATGATGAGTTGCTTTGATTGATGATACTGGAAAATCAGGTTTAGTGGACAGCCATTAGTCAAGTTAGTCCATATAACTAAGAGAACTTATCAAAAACACTACCTCAGGATATGCAAGGATTGTCTCATCAAGAACAGGGCCATTAGAGTGGACGTCCTGGCTCCTAATCTGGGAGCTGCTCCATTCGGGCAATCCAGCATTCTGATGTAAAAACCATTGATTTAAATAGAAAGCACATGGAAGATATGCTAATGCTTCAAATAATAATGGCTGCTAATACATACTGATAAGAGGTATCCAAGATCGATGTACTGCGTTTTCACCAACGAGACATGCTTTGGTTTAAGCAAATCTGTTCGCCCAATGATGTCATCCAGCTTCTCATAACCCAACTGAGCTAATGCAGCTCGAACCTAAATGAATTAACCAATTTTCAAAAGTTACAATTATCCCTAAAAAATAGGCAGGTCTTGCAACAATCAAGGAACAAGGCTAAGACAAACAGCATCAGTAATGAGAATCATGACATACCTCCTCGGCAACAAAGAGCAAGTAGTTAACCAAAGCCATATTCATCAGCCCCCATAGCAGCAGCCATAAGAACATCTTGACCACTCCTGAATCCACCATCCACCCTAAGTACTACCCTCTCTCTCAATCCATTTTGTATAAGTGTATGGAGGAAGTTAACTAGCATTACAAAACAGAAAATAATTTCATGGAAAAACTGTTACAGAAAAAAAATAGGAAACCTGATTTGTTTCTGTAAGACCAAGTTCCCAAGGACCCCCAGCATGTTTGATGGAGCTGATTGGGCTAGCTCCAGTACCACCATCATGACCTGATATCTGTGTAATAGAATAGTTATTTAGAAGACAAAAATAAGTACACATAAAACTCTAATTCACCCAATACACCAGGCCTTTGAGAGAACCATTTGCAAGCAATTGAATAAGATGGGCCAGTTTTGTATACATTTTTCACAAGTATATAAATGCATCATAGTGATGTAGTAGAAATGAATGACTAAGTATGATATGGTAAAGGAAGAAAACACTTTAAGACTTATGATATGCTTAATTTGAAAATACAGGATGGCATACCCGACCCTCATCCCTTCCTCGATATCAGTTGGAGAGACCTTATCTCCCAGTCCAACCACAAACTGCAGGATTCAAAACAAGGCATAAGATAAAGGTGTACAGTTTCTAGGTGGCATGAGATGGAAATAAAATGGCAAGCATGGCATACCTTTGCAATTTGTTTTACATTTATAACATATTTGGCATCATCCGTATTAGGGCTTATAATCTTTGTACACCTTGCTACCTGCAGGAGGATAAATATTAGTTATTAGTGCGCTGGCACATGTAAAACTGAAACCGAAAAGATTTTGTGCCCAACTATCATGCATGGTAAGTCGTAATTCAAATCTGTAAAAACTACTAAGTAACATAATATCAGGTTCAGTTAATATACTTGTAATGGTTGTTCTTCTTGCATCATCTGTTTATCTGAAACCAAATCCCACTGGCTAGGTGGAGCCAGCCCTATATCAGACTCCTTTATCCCTGCATTTAGTATGAGAGCACATCTCAGGTCAAAAGGAGCTTGCTAACATTAAAACGAGCTGATGAATTGCAGAACAACATAGAACATAATAGAAAACACCAGACATAAGACATAATAGAAAACACCAGACATAAGATGTGGTCTCATAGCCAATTCATCTTACTACACTATTAAGTTAATAACATGTCATTACTACACTATTAAGTTAATAACATGTCAGATATCTAGAGTGCAGGGTAATATATAGCAGCACCCCCATGCCAGAACTATAGAGGCATCCCTAAAGAAACAGTTCCCATCGATTTTTACCCTTGTTCAGTAAACTAGAATGTTTCAAGTGTAACACACTAAATAATGCATCACTACATCTTAACCATATGGATAACTATACGTGAGATCGTCAATTAAATGAAACTCCCTATTAGCGGCAAGTAAATAGCCAGCGGAAACAAGTGTTGCCAAGTGAATAACAATTCTCAGTGACTCGGTGTAATAACTCCACAATCTAAGCCGGAAGATCAATAAAAAGACACAAAGTGATCAAACTTATCCTTAGGACCAACTCAGAAACAAACTGGCCTACATCTCCAATGCCACACCAAAAAAGTCATAATAAAATTATCACTCACCACAAAGGTCATTGATTTTCTTGGCCATTTCCTTGATCTCCTTCTCGACCTTCTTGATGCTGGTCGAGTATGGCCCAAGCCCTTGCAATAGCATCCAGCAAACCAAAATTAGCAAATATCAGCAGTTTATCCCATTAAACCACACACGGCGACCTAAATCTGGTAAAAGCACGATGCCGTCACAAACGACAGAGGAGATCAAAACCCTAAACCAATCTCGAGCCCGGACCACAACGAACACAACTACGAAGCCCCACCCCCAAGACCAAATCACCAAAGAACCCTAGATCCACGAGATCAGAGAGATCCAAACGGGGGTCGAGGGACCCTAGATCCAAATGGAGCAGACGAGATGTCGCATCAGGGGCAACCGAGCCGGCGACCACCGGTAGGCGCCGTGCCCGGGGACGGCAGCCGTTGGGGCCCCCGCAGCCAGGGGCGGCCACCCACCACCCGCTGCACCGGTGACTTGGCCGGGGCCGCCGTCGCCGCGCCCCTACGGCGCAAGGGGGGAGGGGGCGCGAGGGGGGAGAGGCGTGGAGGAAGAGGAGGGCGGCTGCGGCGTCCGCTGGCCCGCTCGTGCCAGCCGCCGTAGCCCTGGCCGTTGCTCGCGTCGGGAGGGGGAGAGAGCGTAGAGGAGAGAAAGAGAGGGGAGGGGTGAAGGAGAGAAAGAGAGGGGGAGAGAGCGTCGGGAGGGCGACTGTGCTCGAATATATAGTCAGGGTTATTTGTAGGGGCGGCTGGTGATTGAGCCGCCCCTACAAATAGAAACACCGGGGCGGCTGGTGAGTGAGCCACCCCTATAAATCAGACCCATTTGTAGGAGCGGCTCGTATCACCAGTCGCCCCTGCTGTTCCATTTGTAGGGGCGGTTGGTTTCTGGGCTCCCGAGCACGCCACTGTAGGGGCGGCTCCATCACCGGCCGCCTCTAAAAAAATTTATCCCGTTGCTACAAACTATTTTTCACGTAGTGATGGTAAGTCAATTATCACTTTTTTTAACTTAAATATCGCACCAGATATAAGTTCTTTGCAAAATTTTTCTTCAAACCAATTTCGCATCTTAGCTGTACATTGACTTGATTACACAAAAAAAAGGTACCGACTTCAGCAGAAACGGCAGAAGCAATCATGCTAAATCAGGCTGATTTCCCTAAGGTACGATCAAACGAAAGCTCTGGTGAACAGTGTCCATGTAATCACAAAACTATAACCACTTCGCACACTAAAATAGATCTTTGCAAAAAAAAAGAACCTAGTAGGCATAATACAAGTATACACTTTTAATAAGATCAAATCCAAATCTAAATAGCCAAATAGAACGTTTAGGGTTTGGTGCTCGTTTTCGCAGAGTAAGAAGGGAAGAGAAATGGGTGGGAAAACCTGGTGGGTGCTCATTGCCGGTTAAGGGCGCGACGAAGACCTGGGCACCTGGCTTACTAGCTTAGGGCGGCGGCGGTCGTCGCCACCAGAAATGAAGGCCGAGAGAGAGAGAGAGAGAGAGAGAGCAGCAGCAGCAGAAGAAACGCAGGTCTAGTAGAGCAGGCCTCGATGCTACTTTGGGCCTTAGGGCCTGTTTGAATGTGGTCCTGGGAGCAACCTGCTTGGCTGGTTTGCCTGTGTGCCGTTTGGATGAAAAGCCCAAAACAATCTGCCTGAAGCTTGTTTGGAGTGACGATAGAGTTTGGTAGCTTCACCAACTTCAAATTCATATCTAAATTTTTTAGCTAAAAACATCTAGCTCCACCATGAATCCGATCCACCAAAACAGTGGATATGCTCAATTGGTGGAGCAGTTCAAGGTGTGCTCCACCAAATCAAGCTTGGCTGAGATAGAGAAAATTATCCATCATGCCATTGCACAGAAAAACGTTTCGTTCTACCTTCCGGTTGTCTTCCCCGTCACTTCTCGCCCGCTGTGCCGCCCCACGTTGGCCGCGCAAGCCCCCTGGCGGACACGCGCCCCCCGAGACCCTCCACCGCACATGCCCCTGATCGGTCGGCGCGTGTGCCCCCTTTTCCGACCGCGTGCGCCACCGAGGTCGACCGCACGAGCCTCCGAGCTATAACACCACAAAATTCCTATTTTGGGTTGTGAGTAAAAAACACTAAATAAAATGAAGGATTTAATAATTTTTCTAAAATTTGCCAAGATTTATTTATTTGTTGTCAATACAAAATGAGAAAATGTGGATTTATAAAACATTTACAAAGTTAATGAAAGGGTGTTTTGTTTGTTGTTTTAAGCTTGGCTTTGACTTGGTTGTGTCAAAAATGAATTTCAAAAATTTGATCCAACCACGTTAGACCCTTTTCGGTTTTTTGAAAATAAAACTTCAAAAGTTCTATTTGAAAACATATTCAAAGTTTGAGTTTGAAAAACAATTTTAAAATGTGTTCAAAAGAAAAGATGTTTTGGCTTTCAAAAATAGTTTAAAACATGATCCCATAATCTCAAATTTATACCTAAAATTTTGGTTTCAAAATCTTTTAGAAAATTGATTTGAATCTTGTTTTATAAAAAGAAAAGCCTTTTCTTTTATCTCTCCTTCCCTCCCTCGCTTTCGGCCCGCTCGCTCTGCTGGCCCATCTCCTTCAGCCCAGCACCCCGGCCTGCCCCAGCCTCGACCCAGCAAGCAGCAGCAGCAGCCCGCGCCGGCCCGCGCCGTGCCGGCGCCTGAGCCGCTGCCACGCGGGCCCCGCTCGCCAGCCACCTCGGCCCGCCTGCCAGCCCGCCGCTGAGTCGCTGACCAACGGGCCCCACGCGTAGCGGGACGAGCCGTCGTCCTCAACATCCGAATCGCCCGAATGCCATCGCCGCCGCTCGTCTCCGCAGGCCCGCACGTGAACCGAGGATGGTCGCGGCTATAAAGGGGGCGCCCCTGCACGCGCCGCCGCTCCCTTGGTGCCCTAGCCCGAGCCGCCGCCACCATAGCCGCGAGCCCTCCGATCTCCTCCTTCGCCGCGTCTCCGTCGGCGATAACCGGCCCCTGAGTTTCGCACGGAGGTGAGCACCCCGCCGGTCCCATCTCGCCCTCTCTCTCACTCTTGTACTGTTTGCGCTGGCGACCTCGCCATAGTCCCCCGCCGCCGTGCCGGTCCGCCCCGCCGCGTTTGCCGCCGTCTCTGGCCACTGGTGGACGACGCGAGCACCCTAGCCGAGTCCGCGTCGTCGAGGTCTACGCTCTGGTGCCATCCCCGATCCCAACCGAGCCCTGCAGCGCCGCCCGGCGTGCTCGTCGCCGCCGGCAATGGCGCGCCGCCGCGCGTAGCGCTGCTCCGGCTAGCCGCCGCCGCGAAGCCCCGCACCGGGTTCGCAAGGCCGAGTGCTACCTCCCCGTGCCCTCTCCTTGCCCAGCCGAGCGCCGTCGCGCGAGCGCCGCCGAGCTGCGCCGGCCATCCATGGCCGCGACACCGCGCCTCCCGCCGCTCCGGCGACCCAAACCCCCGCGTCCATCCCCAGCCGCCCGATCCGGCTCGGGTGGCCCAGATCTGATCTAACTCCGGTCAACCGGAGTCAACGGCCCAGTCAGCAGCCGACGAGGCCGCACGCATGCGCCACGTCATCGCCTGGTCAGCGTCTATCGAGTCAACGCGGTCAACACGCCATTAGCCCTGGCACTTTTGCATAAGAGCTCCTGCGCTTTCTCAAAATTAAGCCTCGGTCGAAACTGGTTCAAAAGTAATTAGAATAAACACATATATTTTCTGTTTTAGCCCCTATTCTTTAGAGAAATAGTATCCGCCGTCCAAGACCCTCGGTTTTTGCGATTTAGACCTTGGAGGTTATGTTTAATTACGTTTAGGCTCTCGGTTTCGTCTGTTAGGCCTTAGTTTTAGTGTTTCTTCGCAGATAGGTCCTTTGTGACTAGTTTTAGCCATATTTTGCGCGTTTTAGCTCCGCCCGTTCTTGTTGCGTTAGCTTTGTAACGATGTAAGCTATGCAATAGCAACGCTGTTTACCATGTCTCATGTTTATGAATTTAATCATATTAATTGGATTAATGTTTATTCAATACCTTTTTGAATTAAAAGCAATTTAGGATTATAACTTTGGTATTTCATAAATTAATGTTAATATGATTTATGATTATTCAATGCCCTTTCTAATTAAAAGCAGCTTAAGTTTATACTTCGGTCTTTTATAATTAATAGCAACTTAAAGGTTCTTTATAAATTATAACTTGTTTATTTAAACATGAGACATATGATGGTTCGATTAGTTGCTCTCACCTACTTTATGCTTTCTAAATTATAAATGACTTAAATACTATAGAAATATTTATAAATAAAATATGACTAAGGTTTAACTCTGGCTTTTACAATTCAATATAATTTGAATTAATTCAACTTTAGGATAATTCTCTGAAAAGTCCATCACTTTATTTCATCAACTAAAATGAATCAAACTTATAGTCTGTCTTCTCCGTTAGGTGGCATGCATATCGATAGTCGCGTCCTTTTTAACGATAACTTTACTTCAGCCGTTTTTGTGCTCTCGTGATCGTAGCAACGAGCCGTGCCGATTAGTGCGTTATTTTCAAGCTTCTCTTTTGATTCATGTGTTGTTCTTAGTCGTGCCTGTTGTTGTCTGCTTGTGTTGCTTGGTTGCTGCGAGTAGAGGAAGCATGATCTGTTAGTGCAGAAGACTAGGAGCTGAGGACCAACAAGTGCAGCAGAAGTTGGAGACCAGAAGATAGAAAGCCGAAGACTTCTGAGCAGCTAAACTTTGGGAAAAAGGCAAGTGCAGGCACCGTTTGATCATTTTGTACCTATCCATTATAATTTACTTTTACTTTCATTGCATGTGTCTAATATTGCAAACCCTAAGGACATGACTAGCCCTTTTACTACCTTCCTTGTATTACCTGGGGTTCAATATTTGGGTAGCGTAGTTATGTTTAGTTGCTCCACTCACAACTATTACATGTTGATAAAAGTAATGATGATTAATGGCTTACTATAATTATGGATGAAAGATGCTTTTATAGCAACATGGTTTAAGGTGATGAAGGGGGAAACGAGTAT